AAAGGGGAAGAGGTCACATAGCTATTGCTTGGATCGATTTTTTTTCCCTTCTGGTGTGTTGGTGGAAGCCAAAGACTTGTTAACTCCTGGGCATAAACAATGCTGGTCTGGGAAAGCTGTGGGAAAAGATGGTTTTGTGGGGGGAGAGGTAGCATGGGCTCTTCTTTACCCTCCTCATAGAATCATAGGATTTGGAGCTGAAGGGGACCTTAGAGTCATCCAGGCCAGGCCAGCCCCTTCAAAGGCCCAGAGAGGCAGATGGACCACCCAGAAGGAGCAGAGCTGGGATGGAAAGGGACATTTTTTGGTTCCAGATTTCCATCTGACCATGCTGCTTTATGTCTACACCTTTCCAGGTGCCTGAGTTAAGCTTGCTTTAGAATTGCTTTTGTTTTATTTGGCTGTATAATTATAATAATAATAACTACCACTTATATAGCACTTAGTATGTGTTGGGTGCTGCTAAGCGCTTTATAATTATTATCCCATTTGATTCTCACAACAACCCTAGGAGGTAAGTGTAATTATTATCCCCACTTTACAGATGAGGAAACTGAGATAGACTGAGGTTAAGTGACTTGCTCAGGGTCACACAGCTAAGAAGTATCTGAGACTTTGTGTGAACTCTGGACTTCCTGGCTTCAGGCCCAGTGCTCTCTATCCATTGTGCCACCGCTCCCCCTAATGCTGTAAATGTTGTTTTTAAAATATTCTTTCCTCTTCCCTGTTTAAAGTACTTAGCAACATAGCACTTTTAATGTGTCTGTACATAGGAGATAAGCTAAAAATAGAAATCCAGGAAGGTTTTCCTGACATTTGGCTTGTTTGTGATTTCAAACAGAAATTGGATGTTTCTGAAATGGGATTGATGAGTGGGGGATTACATATGTTACTCATGAAGTTCTAACAGTTTATCTTTCCTTTCTGCTTCCATTTTTACAGAATTTCTCGTTTTTCAAATGTCTATCATCTCTCTATTCATATTTCAAAAAACTTCGGCGCTGACACCACAAAGGTGTTTTATATTGGACTGAGAGGAGAATGGACTGAGGTAAGAAATAGAAAACAGGGAAATGGCATGACATCCTTATAAATTACAGTGGGGGAATCTAATAAAAGAAAGAAAAGTACGTAAAACAAATTCTCCCATGCCACCCTTATTTCTTCAGGAGTTCTTCATGGAAAATCTACCCTGGTAGTTTGATATACACTACTTAATTTTAATTGTTATAGGGGTGTGCTTTCTGCTATGGATTATGTAGCTGAAAAGAACCTTCTAACAGTTTAGAGTGTAAAATGACATAACAATCATGGAGAAAATCTGTTCTAGCTGAGGCTCAGAGAAGCCATTTGTTAAAGGTCACAAGGTTGTTGAGAGGTAGAGCTGGACACAGAGGTCACCAAGGCCAGTGCTTCACCATTGGCTTCAAAAGTTCTGTCATGTTCTTTTCCTGGAGTAACAGGTGAAAAATCTAGTAATGAACATGAAGGGATTTTCGGGTTGAAAAGTAGTAGAGGGTGACGGATACTGGATGGTTTTAAGCAATTTATCCCAAAAAAGGATTGAGGAAAATTCCAAGTGTGGTCTGGGGAGCAGTGTTTTAAGGGTCAATTGGCTAATTCAACTTTTCTTGCTCTTCCTTAAGATGCGTCGACATGAGGTGACTATCTGCAATTATGAAGCATCAGCTAATCCAGCAGATCACAAGGTCCAGCAGGTCACTCCACAGACACACTTCATTTCTTAAAGGCACGCTGGGGCTCCCACAGAAGCTTTTGTGTCAGTGATGATGTCAGACAACCATTTTGGAAGGAAAAAGATGGGGCTTGAGAGAGAGAGAGAGATGGCTATTGCAGTTTCCCCCAAAGCTTTGTTGCTTGGGGCCTGAAAACTAAGGACACCAAACCATTGGCAAGGGCCACTGGATTGTTGAGGACAGTTTGGCACTTTGGGTACTGTAGAAATTGAGTCTTGAACCTGTTGGAAATCTGGAAGCCATGGATAGCCCTCGATTTCCCAATTTGGATGTGGCTGTGGACTCTTTAAGTGTTTTTATCCCTTTGTGGCAGGACTTGTGTGTAACCTTTTTAAAAATCAGTGATTACCACTACTGGGTTGCCTGTAGCATTCCAAGATCTTGAGATTTTGTTCATGGCATTTGCCAGTAAGATCTCCATCTTGAAACACTTCTCCTTGCTTGCTCCCTCCTGTGTGTGTGAAGTATTTTGTGTTTGTTGTGGCTAAGCCACTCAGGTCTACCAGGTAGCTGCTACCGCCTCTTGAAGTATGCTGGGATCGTGGCTAGAAAGCTCATCTCTTGATCCCATTTACAGCTTTGCATTCTTTCTTCTTGCCTTTGGTAACCAATCCCCGAGAGGCAGTGTGTGCTGAAATTGTTCACATGGGTATGGCCATCTTGGTGGTGACATTGGGGTTTAGGAAAAGCGTTGTTTATGGCATGATGCTTAATGCTTCTTAGAAACCAGAAATCTTAGAGCTCTTCTGTGCACAGCTTTCCATTCCCTGTGACTAAGAAGCTTCCTAATAAATTCACACCAGACATAACATTTGTCTTTTGGTTTTTTTATTCACATTAATAGTATTTCCCACTCATGGAACACTTCATGGCTCATAAATCATTTTCCTCAAAAAACCCTGTGAAAAGAAGTCGTTGAGTACATAGGAATTGAAACTTCAGACCTTGGAAATAACCTAAGTCCAATTGTCTCATTTTATATATGAGGAAACTGCAGCCCAGAATTTAAATGATTTGCCCAAAATCACACAAGTAGTAAAAAGCAGAGCCAGAATTCAAAAGGTCCTCTGAAAATCCATGGATTTTTGTCCCTAGAGATACTGCTTTATGCAAGGAAGATGAGGGGACTGAGGCTCTAAAGTTGACTTGCACAGTGGCAGAGCCAGTCTTCACTCAAAGACTCAGTCTTCCTACTACACAAAATGCTAACTCTAAACCAAGGATTTTGGAAAGTTCTACTCTAGGCTCATGAGGGATAACAGTAACTTTAGTTCCTTGGTTTGGACACAGATTTTTCCTCATTTCTTGAAACCATGAAGAAACTGCCTGCACACATGGAAATGAGGTTTGTGCACGTGCTGAGGAGTTGGCTGTCTTTTTCCAGTGTGTATTAAATTCATAACATGGTAAGATCATAGGATTGAAGGGCAGTAACTTCAGCTGTTCTCTACTGCTATGTACCTGCAAAGATAATTAGCATTCACACTTAAAGAGGCATGTTGTCAACCTAGAGCACTACATTTCTCCAATAGCAAAGACCTGTCATATATGGAAACTCAAAAAAAATTGAGGAAAAGTTAAATGTGGCCCTTTCGTAAATGTCAGTACCACAAATGAGGAACAATAAACAAATGCTGAAAAAGGACAGTTTCAGGAATTAAACATGGCTATACATGAACTGACAACCAGAGTAAATTTGACACTTGCTTGATGCATATCCACCAGCCTCCAACCATAGCAGCTTTATCAATACTGCACAGTAATTTGGAGATGAGGAACAAGACATTGCTTGGAGGTTGGCAGTAAGGGGGGAAAAGTCAAAATAAATTAATAAAAAAAGAACTAATCCAGAGTAACCCCAAGTTGCCAAACTTGCTGACTTCTGGAGTGTGGTTTAGATTGCTACAGAGTAACTATGTAATCTGTGAGCATGGGAAGACTCGTGTATTAGCTGGACTGTTGGGGAAGGTGATTTACAAGTTCCTTGGATCTGACGGGAGGGGAGTATTGGGGCCTTGCCACAGTCGCCCTCCACCTCCACCTGTTTTCTTTCTAGTTCATCTTCCTTTCTTTTCAACCTGTCTCACCAGGGGTTGCTTAGTCTCGGTACTGGCACTTCCGGCAAAAGCAGGAGCTTGGTTCTGGTGCCTTAAATCTTATTTCATAGGTTCCCATTAAGCATTTGAGGTCACAAGGACCTGCCTTATGGCCTGGGGCGTAAATGCCACCTAGGGCTTTGAATGAAAGGCAAAACTTTGGTAGTTCAGAGAGGAGTTTGCATGTGATTAAATTGGGAGAATGCATCCTGGGCTGCCGAGATGAGTCAGTTCCTGTTCACTGGTTGGTTGTCATGCTAGTAAAAACAGTGATTCCAGACATACTGGTTTTCCTTGGGGAAAACTTTATTGTAGCCAAGAACCCAAACCTTTCAATGCTTGTGGCTCTCTCCTTGGGGCTATGCCCCTTAAGTATCTGCACCGTCTGGAGCGTGTTGTCTTACAAAACTTTACAATAAGGAGCCTTAGAGGTTACAAAGTCCAACTCCCATCTTAGACAGTGGGATACCAAGGCCCAGAAAAAGGAAATGACTAGAGCTAAGCCGCACAGCAATTACAGCGGCAAAGCCAGGACTAGAACTCAAGTCTTTCGTCTTCCAAGCAAAAATATTTTCTACTGCTTTAAAGTGGCCGAAGGATTGAGGGGTGGCTACGCCAGAGCTCCCTGGGGGGGAAGGGGAGGGACACAAAATCTGGGCATTTCAGAGGCCTGCAGCCTCGGTGCCCAGGGTAAGGGGGGTGATGCGGCCCTAACTGTCCAGCTCCAGGGGCCACGTTAAGGACAACGAAAGCTGGCCACGTATCGAGGGCCGTCAGGGGGAAGGTTTCTCTTCTCGGAGGGGCCGAGGGCCAGTGGATGACGTCCGGCCAGCAGGAAATCACGCGGGGTCACGGCTCGCTCGCTCCGCGCTTCTCCGGGGGGCACGCGCTGGACTGAGCCTCCTCGCGGCGCTCGTCCTCCTGGAGCTAGGCGCTCCTCCTGGCCCGGTCCGCCCGGAGGGATGGCTTCCACTGCCCACCTCGGCAATCTCAGTCCTCGGGAGCAGCCCTCAGGGACAGCTCCGTGCGCCGCTTCCGGGTTCCGTCCCGCGCGGCGTACGCCACTTCCGGCAGCGCGTGGCCGGGTTCTCGCGGCTCAAGCGGAAGTTCCGGCGGGGGCAGCGGGAGGGGGGGGGGCGGGGGGGGGGGGGGGGGAGCTCTGTGAGTATCCGAGCCGGAGAAAGAGGTGAGTCGCCCAGGACGGATTGGAGCCCCCGGGAGCTGGGCGCGGCGGAGGTACCATTGTTCGGGAGCCCGGGGGGGTGCGTAGGGGCTATGGGGCGGGCGGGACCATCGCGAAGGACCCGACGCAGCGGTGGGGGACGGAGGCCGGGCGACGAGAGGAACGAACGAGGCGGAAGGTCCCCTGGTGGGGACTCCCGCGGCACCAGCGAAAGGGGCGCGGGAGGGCGGTGCGCCATTGTGTGGGACCCCGGGGCCAGAGATGGAACGTCCCATTGTGAGGCTGCCGGAGGGGAGGGGGCAGGAGTGGGATGTCCCATTGTGGGGATGCCCTGGGCGGGATGTCCCCTTGTGGGGTCGGGGGGAGCAGGAGGGATGTCCTGAGTGGGATATCCCCTTGTGGGATGGGGGGGAACAGGTGGGATGCCCTGGGTAGGATGTCCCCTTGTGGGGTGGGGGGGAGCAGGAGGGATGCCCTGAGTGGGATGTCCCATTGTGGAGAAGTGGAGGGACAGGAATAAGACATCCCATTGTTGGGATGGGGTAGGAGGGGTGCCCTAAGTGGGATGACTCATTGTGGGGATGTAAGGAGACAGGAGTAGGATGTCTTATTGTGGAGAAATTGGGGGACAGGAGTCAGATGTCCTGTTGTGGGGTAGGGGGAGCAGGAGGGTTGCTCTGAATGGGATGTCCCATTGGGAGGGATGACAGGATTGGAAGACAGGAGTGAGATGTCCCATTGTGGGAAGGGAGTGAGGGGGATGGAAGTTCTAAATGGGATGTCCCATTACAGAAGTGCTTAATGTGTTGGCAGGGCAGGAAGACAGGCATTGAAAGCTGTAGGTGGGATGTCCCATTGTGGAGATTTCTGGGGTACAATGGCTCCTTGTGGGGGGCTTATATAATGAGGGAGAGCCATGGGTGGGAGATCCCATTGTAGGATCTTGAGGGGCCTGGATGGGATTATGAGGGTGCTTGGTGGAATGTGAGGGGAAGGAACCATTGGTAGATAGATGGGTTATCTCACTGTGTTTATTGAGAGACCCTAGGGACAATATTGGAAGGAGCTCCTTTGGGTGGGACAGTCCTTGTAGGAATGGGAATGGCTGTTTAGGGGTTGGGGTGGGGAGGATGCCCTATTGTAGAAACTCCCAAGAGTCTCTTTGTGTAGTAGGGAGTTAATGAAAAGCCTCTTGGGAGAGGGGGTGGTGTACCAGAATGGAGAAGGGAGGCAAATAAATATGGGGGGATGTTAGTGAAAGGGATACAAACTACACCAATGTGACTCCAGGTAGGGGAAGCCTGGGATATGCCATGGAGGTATGGGGTGGTCATGGGGGTCCTGATGAAAGATGACTCCCAGGATGGAGGTCTGGGGTCCCGACTGAATTTCTAAAAGGCCAGTGGCTGGTGGGCAGGGGCAGTACAGGAAGTGTCCCTAGGAACTTCTCTTTCTGTTTTTCCTCTTGTCAGGGTGGGCCCAGACCAAGGAGGAAGAGAAAGTAGGCTTTGGGGGTTGGGATGGGAGTCAGAGGAAGGATAGGGCCCCTGGGGTTCTTGGACCTGAAAGGTCAGAGAAATTTTTTGGGGCAACCAGATGAAGATCTAGAGGGCTGAGGTTTGACCAGGGGTCTCTTCCTGCCCAGTTATGCCGAGCCTCCTGCTCCTTGCTCTGGCCATTCCTATGGCTGGCCTAGTGGCATTGGTGGGGTTAATGCCACTCATCCTGTCCAGTTTGGCATCTTTCCAGAAAGGCCATCCCCACTCAGCCTCTGTCAGAGGGGCTGAGCCAGGCCAAATGGAATAAGCCTGGGTTTGGGGCAGAGAGAGAGAAAGAAAGAGAAAAGTGGCATCTCCCCTCTCCTGTCCTATCCACCTCCTACCTTCCTTACAGTCAGAAGATGTCAGAGCTCACAGGGTCTAGAGAAAGGGAGGGACCTATCCAACATAAAGATTTAGGGGCAGAGGCAGGACCCCTGACTACAACTCAATGCCCAGGATTCGATCCCTCCACCTTCACCTAATCTCAGCCCTCTCTGCCAAGGGAGAGCCCAGCAATACAGCTGGTTGGGGGGTGGGGGTAAGGAGAGGAAGTCTTTGGGGTTATGCTGAAACTCGCCACTGTCAGTGGAGAAGACCTGAAAGCAAGGGCCTGCTCCTGGGGGCCAGACCCACCATACAGCTCTTGTCCCTCTGTCCCCATTCAGGCCCCAGCGTTGGCATCCCTTTTGGTGCATGTGCGGTAACAATATGTCTGTCCCCCTGCTCTCCGATGCTGCGACTGTTTCAGGAGCTGAGCGGGAGACAGCAGCGGTAAGGGAGAAGGCCCACAGGCCTCTTGGGGAGCTGGGGGCTGGGCCTGAGGGGGTGTGGGAAACGTGGAGGTGGCCCAATGGCAGCTTCCCTAGGGCCAGGAAATAAGGAGATAGATAATGACCTCTTTGCCCATTGCCTCAGTTTCTGGGGTATGGGAGTGAGGAAGGGGCTGGCTGGAGGAGAGGCCATGGAGAAGAGTGGGGATCAGGAAGGAGGCCCCAAGCCTCTTAGCCCTGCCTCTGCTTTCTGTTTTTCTTTCAGGTTATTTTTTTACATGGACTTGGAGACTCAGGGTAAGTGAGGTTCCTTGGGTGGGAGGTAGGTCCTAGCCTAGAGAGCTGGTATCGGGCAGCCTCCCCATCATGTGCCCCTCTCTCCCTGGCCTGTCCTTGCTTTCTTCTCACAGGCACAGCTGGGCTGATGCTCTTTCCTCTATCCGTCTTCCCTATGTCAAGTACATCTGTCCCCATGCGTAAGTGATGCCTTTGGTGGGGGGGGGGGCGGTGGCGCTGGGAGAGCTCAAGAGGTTGGGAGCCTGGAGAGTGGGGAGAGGGTCAGGACTGAGGGCCTTCCATCACATCCTTCCCCTTGGACCCCTGCCCCAGCCACTAGGTCCCAAAACTAGGTCACAGAGGACTTGAATCAGACCCTGCTTGGAGGAGTCATCAGAATGAGGGCCTGGCTCATTCCTTTCTTCTCCCCTGCCCCCACCCTCCTGCTAACTCTGGACCCTCTGCATAAGGGACCCCCAGCACTCACCAGGCATAGCGGGAGCCCTCCGATGTCGATGCACTGATGCTAGAACCTGAGCAGCCTCTGGCCCCATGTGGCTGGTTGCCTGGCAACTCTTCAAACATTGGTCTGGGGATGGGGAGGGCCTCTCTCAGTCCTGATCTGGCCCCTGGGCCTGGTGCCCAGGGCTCCACCCTTAGCATCCTCCCCCAGGACTGAGGCCCAGGGGGTGGCAGGGAGGGGGCAGTCACTTCTCCTGCTCCTTTCTTCTCTCCCCAGGCCTCGGATACCGGTCACACTGAACATGAAGATGGTGATGCCTTCCTGGTAAGTGATAATGACTAAGGTTGGGCTTGGCTCTTGGAGGGTCTCTTCAGAGAAGGGAGGAACTGGTCCAGGACAGGTCCTGGAAGAGATCAGGGTCCCCTTGTCTGCCTCATCTGTAGGTTTGACTTGATGGGCCTGAGTCCCGATGCCCCGGAAGATGAAGCTGGGATCAAGAAAGCAGCAGAGAGCAGTAAGTCTTTCTCATTCCCCCCGACACATGAACCTTCAGTCATTCAGCACAGAATGAGCATTAGGAGATCCTACTGTGCGCAGGCCACTGTGCTGGGGAGATTACAAAGGTGTAGGTAAGAATCAGTCCTTGGAGTTCATGGAGTTTATGGCCTAGGACAATGCACCATTCATACATTCACGATGATCCTTCATTCAAAAAAGCATTCACACTGGGCTTGTGGGTGTAGGGAAGGTTGGCGGGGCAAGATACAGAGTTTAGCTGGGATACACAGTATCTGCCCTCACGGAGCAGACATGACTCTGCTCCCCACTTCTGGAAGACCAGGTTTTAGGCCTTTGAGGGGACCCCCAGAGCCTTTTTCTTCATCCAACTCCCCCTTGTCACTCCGTTCCCCTCCCTGCCCCCTCAAGTCAAGGCCCTGATTGAGCACGAGGTGAAGAACGGAATTCCAGCCAATCGAATCATCTTGGGGGGCTTCTCCCAGGTGAGGAAGGAGTGCTGGGGCCTGGCTCTGAAGGTGGGGAGGCTAAGGGGGAGCAGGATACGGGAAGGGAAGGCGGAACATGGCTGGGAGGCAGTGTCTCTGTGGGCAGGGCCTGACCCGAGCCTCCGGCTGGGCCTGTCCCAGGGTGGAGCCCTGTCCCTTTACACAGCTCTCACCTGCCCGCATCCCCTGGCTGGCATCGTGGCCCTCAGCTGCTGGCTCCCCCTGCATCGGGCCTTCCCTCAGGTGAGTGACCCTGTCTCTGGCTGGCTCAGCCTCTCCTCTCACCTTATCCCTCAACTGGAAGGTGCTTGGAGGTAGACACACCGGATCATCAAGTTAGAGGGAGCTGCAGTCATCCCAGGCCAGGCTCTCATTCTACATGACCCAGAGATGGAAGTCAGTTGCCTAAAGTCCCATAGGTAGGGGGTAACAGAGCCAGAATCTGACCCCAAGGCCTCGAATTTCGAAGCTAGTGCTTTCCCCTCCATGATCTCCATGATCATCTGACTTTGACAGATAAGGAAACTGAGGTTCAGGGAAGTTAAAGTTACTTCTGCAGTAATACAGTAAGGCAGCGTAGAGCCAGGACTCAGGCTTATGACCTTGGGAGTCCTTCCCCAAAGCTCTTCCCCCACGTCATATTGCTCTGGTTCCCAGAATGGAGAATGCGAAAGGAGCAGAGGCGTCAGAGCTGGAAGGAGCCTGGCTCTTTTAGCCCAGGGATTCTTCTCCTGGTTTGTGTCATGGGCCCCTCAGGCATGATCCAAACCAGGAGAAGAACCCCCAGACCCTTTCTCAAAATGTTTCTGGACTACATTCTTAACTGGAGGAAATGCTCAATTTCATTTGGAGGTTAGTAAAAATAAAAATGTACATTTTTTTCCCCATGCAAGTGCACAGACCCCCTTGAAATTTATCCCTGGTGAAGAATCCCTCATCTGGCCCAATGTTCTCATTTTGTTATTAAAGGGGGAAAACTGTATGGATATTTTTTTTTGAGCACATCACACAAACCTTAATAAAATTGATCAGCAAACATTATGGGGCTACAGTGTGCCATGCACTGTGCTATAAGCACTGGGAAACAAAGAAAAATTGAACTGCCCCAGCCTCCACAAGAAGCTTACATTTTGATGGGTCAGGAGAATGGGACGTGTTCAGAAGGAATGCAGAGTGATTTGATGGGGTGGAAGGGCTCCTCGCCATCAGGCATGACCTCCTGGGTGGGGGGGGGTGGCTTCCCCTCCCTCAGGTACCATCACCCCCGTTAAGCAGAACAGGTCACAGTGACCCCGACTGACAGTCCAGGCAGCTGCCTGCTCTCCATTGACGTCTGCTTTGATAACTGGCTCTGAGTTTTGTAGTTTAAGGCTGTCTTCATGTAGACACCTTGTCTCTCCGAGGTTCTGAGGTCCTCCCTCCGTGGGGAGGCTGGCCCTTGGCGCATTGCTTCTCTGAATTCTTGTATTTGGTGTTCTTTCGGAGGTGATGCCGTCTCGCCCCGTTCTGATGGCAGTTCGTTCAGCCCTTCCCCAGTCATGACCTCATTTGCTGCCAACTCTGATATTACAGAGAATGGTGTGCAGCAATGTCTGACTCTCTGTGACCCCACTTGGGGGTTTTTTGGCAAAGATACTGGAGTGGTTTGCCATTTCCTTCTCCCGCTTATTTTATGGATAAAGAACTGAGGCAAACAGGGTGAAGTGACTTGCCCAGGGTCACGTTGCTAGTAAGTGTCTGAGGCTGGATTTGGACTCAGGTCTTCCTGACTCCAGGCCCTGCGCGCGCTATCCACTGTGCCACCTAGCTGCCCTATTACAAAGAGTGCCCCTAGGAATGTTGGGGGGGTGTCTTTTGTTGTAACCTCCTTGGGGGTTTGGATCTAGTCGCAAGAATGCTGGGTCACAGATACGAGAGTTAACTGCTGCAGCACTGGGCCTGGAGGCTCTCCCCCCAGGCCTCTTCTCCCCGTGGCCCTGGTAGCCCCCTTCCCTGATCTCAGACTCTGCCCCAGCAGGCAGCCAATGGCACGGCCCGGGACATGGCCATCCTGCAGTGCCACGGGGAACTGGACCCCATGGTGCCCGTACGCTTTGGAGCCCTCACCTCCGAGAAACTCAAGTCTGTCGTTCCTCCAGCCAAGGTCCAGTTTAAGACCTACCCTGGGGTCATGCACAGCTCCTGTCCCCAGGTCAGTGCTCCCCCGCAATGCTGCATCCCTCCTCCCACCCCCACCTCAGTGACTCCGCCTGACGGACTTTCACCCCTACAGGAGATGGCAGCTGTGAAGGAATTCATTGAGAAGCTGCTGCCCCCCATCTAACAGAACCCAGCCTGCCCCCCTTCCCCCAGGCGGGCCGGAGGGGCCCTCAGCAGTATCCGAGCTCTGAACGAGAAGTGGAAGCCATGGCAGCCCGTCCCCCACCCCCAGGTCTTTGAGGTCATGGGAGGATCGGCCCCTCCCCCTTGGAGATCATCTTCCGAGCTCCTGTTCCCGAGCTCCCGTCCCTCTTTCCCTGTCCTGTCACTGTCCTGGGAGGCTGGGGATAAAGGGCGCAGTCTCCGTCTCCTCAGCTGCCATAGTCTGTCCTGTCCGATCTTCCTGTCCCCCAGGGCCGCAGTATTGCTAGGGGTGCGTGGGGGCCCAGCTGCTGACCCACTCAGGACCTGTACGTACCTCACGGGTCCAGCTTCTGGGTGTACCTCTCTCCTCTTCCCCCCAGGTGACCTCAGTGTTTGGGCAGGGGGGGCCTCCTGGCTCCCCCAACCCAGACACCCACTCCCCCCTCCTCCTGCTGTAGGGAGAGCTGGGGTCCCCCCTTCTTCATTCAGATAATCACGTGTCTTCTGTTGCTTTCCTGTCCCCTTGCCCTCACCATGAATGTCTCAATTCTTTCTGCTGACAATGCGCCTCCCCTGGGCCCGAGGCCCCTGTTGCTGCTGTGCCCCTCCGTAAGGGAGGGGCTTGGGCCCAGGCCTTGGGGGTGGGGGTGGGGAGAGGGCAGGTGCATCTGGGCTGAAGCTTCTCTCCCCAACCCTGCTCCCCACCAAAAAGATCCCTGGTGGAATCTCCTTCCAGTCCAGACACCCCCGTTTCTAGGCTGGGGGGAGCTGGGCCCTGCCCTCTGGGGGAAGGATGGAGGACCTATTCCCTGCCTCAGCTGGATGGTGCCCAGATGTTCTTGGCCTGTTCTCCTCATCCCCTTCCCCCTAGGGAGGGGGCTGAGGCTCAGGTTCTGAGCCCAAAAGGGGCTCATCTTCCTCCTCCTCCATGTGGTTTTGGATGTTTTCGTTTCTTGTTTTGTGTCTCCAAGTCAAATCAGATTAAAGAAAAATAAACCTTCCACCTTGGTCCTTGTTCTGAGTTGGAGTGGTGCGGGGGAAGGAGGGGGAGAAGGGTTTCAGAATCATGGAGTAGGTCAGCTCCTATCTTACTCCCTAGCATCAGGGCCCAGAGACAAAGTGTAAGAAACTTTTATTTGGAATCTGATTACAAGACTAGAAATGATTTTGGGAGGAGGGGCTAGGCCATGGCTCCCTACCCACCCCCTGTGTTTTGGGGACCATGGTGGGGCAGAGGCATCCATCCTGTCCCTCTTGGATAGGTCTTGATCTTGGGGAGGGAAGGGACTGGAGTTTTCAGCTCCCTGGTGGAAGGAGGTCCCCTGGATGGCAGGGAGAGTGAGGAGGAGGTGAGGTAGGAAGGTAAGGCCCTGCCCTCTCTCCTGTGCCCTCCTGGGTAAGCAAGGGTCAGGCTTAGTTCGCTCAGCCCCATTGGGGAAGTTAGGTGGGGTATGAGGTTCAGCATCTACCCCTCCCTTCATCCCAGAGAGGCCAGAGATGGGATAAAGCCCAAGTTAAAGCTCAGGTTGGGGAGGTCCATCATTTCCAATATTCCTCAGTGGCAGATCAGGCCTGGCTGCTAAATCCTGTTGGATTCTGTTCTTGCCACCGCCAAAGGTCCTCACCTGAAACAGGCAGGGAGAAGGTGGCTCAGGGTCCTGGGGGGGGGGGTGCGAGGACAAGTCCCCTCCTGTTCAGCCATGCTTGACCAGAACCCTCTCCAGATACTCACACATCTTGTCTAGGCCAAAATCTGCTTTCCAGCCCAGCTCCTCCTGAGCCAGCTTGGGGTTGGCATAGCAAGTGGCCACATCCCCATCCCGGCGGGCCACAATCTGATATGGGATCTGCAACCATACAACAGTGAAAGGTCTGCTGTGAGTAGAGGTAGGTCAGGGGTGGGGGGGATGCTTGGTGAATGAGAGCAGGTCCTTTGCACAAGAGCTATCTGTCTAACCAACACCCTAGGAGGAGGGAGCTGGGAGTGGCATTGGCCCCATTATACAGATGATGAATCAAGTCCTGAGCAAGGGGTTAAGTGACTTCTGGTCAGATGCTTTGAAGCTAGAAACTGGCCCCATCATAGGCTCTCAGATCCACAACGGGAAAGGGACTTCAGAGGGAAACTAGACTAACCCCTTCGTTTAATCGATGAGGAAACTAAGGCCCTGCCCACAGTTCTAGAGCTGGTAGGTGGTAGAGCCAGGACCCTGTGCTCTTTCCCACCCTTCCTCTGCCTCTGAGGAGTCACAGATGTCACGGTCTGGTGGAGGCAGGGCCTGGAGGGTATGAGGCATGGGCTGGGGCATCACTCCCACCTTCTTTCCAGAGGCTTTCTCCATGGCAGACACCATCTGTAGCACAGAATATCCAGTGCCTGTCCCCAAGTTATAGATCTGTGGGGACAAGGTATCCCGTGAGAAGGGGGTGCCCGACAGTGCTGGGGACCCCTTATTTCAGCGTCTATCACCAGCTGCCTTCTTCACGCACTCCCCCATGGACTTGCTGCCTACCCGACAGCCACATTGTTCCTTGAGTTTCTTCAGGGCTGTGATGTGGCCCTTAGCCAAGTCCACAACGTGGATGTAATCCCGGACACCTGCATGGAGGAGGTGTCCCATCAGCCCCCAGCTATTGGCAGGACTCCCTTACCCACTAAGTACCCACCCCTCAACCCCCCCCCACTTTAGCAGATGAATTGAAACTATATTTATCAATGCCTAGAGCATGTGGAGCACTGTCCTGGGGGCCTTGTCCTCAGCGATCCCTCACCTGTCCCATCCACTGTGCTATAGTCGTTGCCATAGACGTTGAGGACTTCCCGACGTCCTATTGCCACCTGGATGGGGGAGGGGAATTAGGGTCGGCCCTCTTCCCTAGGTCACTCCAGGCAAGCGTGGCTCCCCCCAACCCTGGCCCGAGGGGTACCTGGGAGACATAGGGCATGAGGTTGTTGGGGATGCCCTGTGGGTCCTCGCCGATGCGGCCAGAGGCGTGGGCCCCGATGGGGTTGAAGTATCTCAGCAGCACAGCGTTCCAGGCCTGTGGATCCCAGAGCTGTCAGCTGCAGGGGCCTTCCAGGCCCCTTCCCCTGTCCGAGTGACCTGAAGGAAGTCACTTCTCCCTGGCCAGGCCTCAACTGCCCCATCTGTCAGGTGACCCCTGGGGGCCTTTACCTTCTCTGCCTGGCACAGGTCCCGGATCATCTCCTCGATGAAGAACTTGGACTTGCCATAGGGGTTGGTGCAGCCCCCCGTGGGGTGGTTCTCATCCAGGGGCAGGTAGTGGGGGTTTCCGTACACAGTAGCTGAGCTGCTGAACACCAGGTTCTTCACCCCATGAGTGTTCATGGTCTGGGTTGCCAGAAGGGAAAGAGGGGAGGTCAGAGGCCTCAACCCTGGAAGGCCCTGAGGTTTGGGGCTGTCACCTTGTCCCCCTGCCTGCCCCCCGAGCTGGAGCGCACCTCTCGTCCCATCTCAGTCCCTTCTGACGTCCCCAGAGGTCAAGGCTAAGTCCCCGTCACTTCTGGCTCGGTCTGTCTCTACTGGCCCTGTCAGACTACTTGCCACCGTCAGTGGGTCAGTGGGCAGAGGCCCGGGGACGTGGCGTCCGTCTGGCCTGAGCCTCTCACCTCCAGCAGCTGGATGGTCCCCGTGAGGTTGACCCTGTAGTAGTCTAGGGGTTTCTCTACTGACTCCCCGACTGCCTTGAGCCCCGCAAAGTGGATCACAGCCACGAAACTGTGCTATAGGGAAGACAGAGAGCATGGAGGCAGGCAAGGCTGGGGGGATCCCAGTCCTGGGCCCATCCCAGAGGGTCCACAGCCCAGGCCCACCTTGGGCTCCTCCCCTCACCTTCTTAAAGAGTCCTTGCAGGGCTGCTTGGTCCAGAATGTCCATTTCCTCAAACTCCACCTTCTTGCCTGTGAGTTCTTCCACTCGCTTCAGGCTCTCAGGCATGGGCCCCTGCCCTGGATGGGAGAGAAGGTGGGCTCAGGGGGTTGGGGGCCCAGCAGAGATGACAGGCCCTGGAGGCTGGGGGCCCGGGAGAGAAGGCGAGCTCTGGGGGCTGGGGGCCCAGGAGAGATGACATGCTTAGGGGCCTGGTTCTCCCTCTCCCCTCTCCCCCCACCCCAGACACTATCTGGCTGGGCCACGGGTAGGGCGCTGGGGACCTCACCACGGATGGTGTTGTGGAAGTTGTCAATGACCACAGGCTGGTAGCCAGCCTCCAGCAGCTCCAGGACGGTGTGGCTGCCAATGTAGCCGGCTCCTCCAGTGACCAGCACCTTCTCCACCATCCTTCACACCTGGGGTAGCAAAGGGAGCCTCAGAGAGGCGGGGGCTATCTGGGACAAGGCCCGGAGCTCTTTCTCCTCCCCCTACACGTCCCTGCTTGGGGTCCCTTTCCTCCCACCACAGCTGCCCCTGGGAGATCTCCAAGCACCCAACTCACTGAGGTGGGGGGTAGGGGGTAAAAATGGAAACAGAGAGATGACAGCTAAGCTGTGCTAGGCAGGCAGTCTACAAGCTCCTTGTCCAGTGCCCTGGAGGGTATGAGCTGTGGACGTGGCTCAGACCTGGCCAAGCTGTCAGGTAGGGAGTTTCCTCTCCAGCCAAGGAAGAGGGAGGAGGAATTCATTCAGGTTTTCAAAGAACTCCAGTTTCCCTCCCCTCCCCCTGCCTCCTGAGGACAGCTAGTCGTTCTGGTTCCTGTTCTGGCCCCTCCCTTCTCCCCCGCCTTCCAAACTGGGCCCAGACACCCCAGGAGAGCTGCAGTCCAGCAGGGACAGCTCCACGGCCCTTCCCCCTCACGCCTTTCGGGGCAGTTAGGGGGACAAGGTAGGAGGGTCTGCTCGGAATCTCCCCAGGGCTGGGAGGAGAGGCCTCCCCGGGCCCCAGGACCCAAAGAAGGGCAAAGGGTCTCTTGGAACAGAACCAGGGCCTTCCTGGGGACACCTAGGCTGGGGAGGAGCTGAACTAACATTAAGGGGCTATCGGTAGGGGAGACCTCCAAGGCCAAAGGGAGTTGAGCCTGGTCCAGCGTGTCTTTAGCCAGCTCCCCCAAGAATGAAGGGGATGGTGAGGTCCCACACAGGGAAGAGTCTGAACTGGGCTCAAGCCAGCTCCTGGTCCATCTCCCTCACTGCCCTGCCCCCATTCCTCCTCTCTTCCTCCTCATTCAGAGGGACTTTGACCCAAAGGTAGTGAGCCCCGCCAAGTACAAACAGCCACGAATACACATGGACTGGCCCCCCTGGCCCACCCCCACCTGTGGCTTCTGGCTCAGTGGCAGGACATGGGAGGGGGAGTGATAGTTCACCTATCCCAACCTGGGTGCCAGTGTGCTGCCCCCCCTGCCCCCACACTCACCTTTCCAGACTCTTCAGCCCACTGCCACTCCCAAGGCTCGGGTCACTGCCTGACATGGCCCAGACTTTCCTCTGCCCTTTACTACTCACCTCCCCAGAGCCCCATCCTCTCTTACTCACCACTGCCTAGCCTACTTATTTCCCCCAGGGGTGGGGAACCTGTGGCCACATGTAGCCCTTTAGGTCCTCGGGTGCGGCCTTTTGACCAAGTCCAAGTTTTACAGAACAAACCCTTTTCTTAAGGGGATTCGGATTCAGTCCAAGGGCTGCACTTGAGGACCCAGAGGGCCGAAGGTTCCCCACCCCAGTATCAGCCCATACCCGCAATATCACACGCCTCCTATTCCTCTCGCCCCGCCCTGGCGCCTCTGCCCACCATCCTCTCACACTTAGCACTCTCCCACCCACCCACCCACTACCGCTCACCTCCTAAACTGCTCAGCCCACTCACTATAATGAGGCAGCCGGTGATGCAGTGGATAGACCCAAGTTCAAATTTGACCTCAGGCACTAGCTGGGTGATCCTGGGTAAGTCATTTGACCTGCATGCCTCAGTTTCTTCAACTGTAAAATGGGGATAATCATAGCACAGCCGCGTGGCTGGGCTGTTGTGGGGATAAAACCGGGCTAACATTTGTAAAGTGCTCCTTTATGGAGCCTATCGATACGGGCTAAGCGATGGTTAATATCGGTCACGTCCTACGCCTGTCACTCGCCTGGGCAGCTCTGGACTCCCACCCATCCTCCTCTATCGTCCACCTCCTGGGCTGGGCTGCTCCGCCCTCCCTTCCGTTCCGCTCTGCGAGCCCCGGGCCCCTCTGACGCCGCCCGCAGCCCTCGTACCTGGTCAGTAGCCAGCGACCCTCCTGGATTACAGGTTTAGACGGTGGGGTCCAGCGCCAGGTCGGCTAAGGTCCAGGTCCACCTGCCGCGCTGGCCCTTTAAAGGTTATAGCCACGCCCCCTTTCGCCCCCCCTTCGGATCGCGCTACCTAAGGCCCCATGGAAACGTGTCACCGAGACTCCGGCTACGGAGCCTGGAGGAGGTCAAAAAGGTAGCAGACTGCTCTAAAGCGCCTGCGTGATGCACTGCCGAAGCGCGGCTGGCGAGGAGAAGACTGGAGGGAGGAATCGCGCCCTGTTGGGTGGGGCGCGCGGAGGAAATGAATGGGCCAGGCCATACCACTGAGCTTCTAAGCGGAGGGGTGGCGAGGGGAGAGTTCAGGGACGTGAGGCTGAGCAGGTGGTCTTTGCCGGGAGTCCGGCTGCTGCTGGTGTCTCTGACTCCCAAAGCCAAGACTGACCCTGGAGCTCGCTGCCCGAGGGAGCCTGGGGTTGGGGGACGGTGGAGACTCCATTAGGGGCCGGAACCTCAAAAGCCGAGTCCAGACGGTTACTTGCCCCGGAGCGGGCGCTCGGAGCAGCCCACGCCACTCACGACCCCGCGGTTCTGGGGTTGCCCCCGAAGTGTCCCGGCCAGGGGCACCTTCCACGAGAGGGTGGAGAACTCCCACGGCCTACGGGTCTTCCGCGTGCCCTCCGCGCTTAGCCCGGGGCTCGGCACACAGTAGGCGCTTCCTAAATGCGTGACCCTTTGTGACCGTGGGCGAGCCACTCGCTTCAGTTTCCTCATCTATAAAGTGACGGGTGGGGCTGGAAGACCTCGGCCCGCTGTGCGCTGGATCCTAAAGGAGATAGGCAGTGGGTGGGGAGCAAAAACTCTGACCTTCACAGCCGCTTCACCAAGCAGGCCATAGTACAAGATAAATGCCATTTTTCATTTAACAAAAATCTATTTTCTCTCCTTTTCACCTCAATAAAAATAAAAACAAAATTCTTGTAGCCAGTTTGCATAATCAAATAAAACATTCCCCCAACTGGCCAGAATATGTGTCCGTTTTCCCCTGGTGGTGTCATCTGCACTCCCCAAACCTCCAAGGACATTGAATGGAAGCTCCTTGAGGGCAGGTACTTTCTCACTTTTGTACTTCTATCCCCAGGGCCTAGCTGGGTCTCATCACCGAAGTCCTTGGCACTGTCACATGGTTCAACACCAGGAACAGATGGGGCTTTATCAATGCAAGTGCCACTGAAGAAGATGGATTCCCATCTACAGCCCAAGGACCACCGGACTTCCAGCTGGAACTTTCTGGTGAGCTTCTTAAGAAGCTGAAGCAGAAGACTGTCTTCCTTTTCTGTTTGTCTTTCCTGGTTCTCCTCCCACCTCTCTGACAGCTCCTTTGATGATTTCATCCAAGTCACACCTGCTAACCACGGGTGTCCCACAGGGCTCTGTCTTGGGCCCTGTCCTCTTCTCCCACCATGCTATTTCACTTAGTGATCTCACCAGTTCCCATGGTTCAGTTATCATCTCTGTACTGATGATTCTCAAAGCTACATATCCTGTCCCTTCTCTGACTTTGCGTTTCCCATCTCCAACTGCCTATTGGACCTCTTGAACTAGACGTCTTGTAGACATCTTAAACTCAACAGGCCCATCTTTCCCCCTAAACTCTCCTTTACAAACTACCATATTATTGTCAAGGGCACCCTATCCTTCTAGTACCTCAGGCCCACAACCTAGGTCATTTTTGATTCCTCATTACCACTCATCCCCCCATATCCAATCTGTTGCCAAGGCCTGTCAATTTTACCCTTGTACTATCTCTTGACCCCCCTCCTTCTCTCCTCTGACACAGCTGCCACATCCCTGGGGTAGGCCCTCATCTCCTCATCCTTGGACTATTCCAACAGCTGCTGGTTTGTTTGCACACATCTGTCCTACACTCGGCCATGCTCCATTCAGCCACGAAGTAAGGGATCTCTCTATAGTGCAGATCCAGTCATTTCATCCCTCCACTCCATAAGCCTAAGTGTCTCTCTATCACCTCCCAAATCAAGTATCAATTCTGTTGGTGTTCAAAGCACTTTATAACCTGGTCCACTCCTACCTTTCAGTCCTCTTACACCTTAAAACCATTCTCATCCATTGACACTAGCCTCCAACAAGCCACTCCATCTCTTGGCTCACAGTGTTTTCACTCATTTGTGGAATGCTCTGAATACTGACTTTCCTGACCACTGGAAGCCTTTCCCAACCCCCTCCCCCCCATACAGTACCTTCTCTCTATTATTTCATATTTATTCTACATTTACTTGTACATAGTTCTTTGCATGTTATCTCCTCTATTGAACAGTGAGCCCCGAGGGCAAGGTCTTTTGCCTTTCTTTGTATTTCCAGTGCATCGTTTAGTACCTGGCAGAGTAGGCACAATATTTATTGACTGACCAGTGCTTTGCACACAGTAGTACTTTTTGATTTAAAAAAATAAAATGAAAGGGTGGTCTGGGTCCTCTCTCCAGCTCTGATCCTAGATTGGCAATGCAAGCATCCCTTTTTTAAATTTGAAATCTTGCCCCAGGTTACATGATTAGGAAGTGGAAGAGTCCTAATTTGAATTACGGTCTTCTGACTCCAAATTCAATACCACCACACCAAGAATCAGTGAGATTACTGCTTGATCTTCCACATCTTGAAGCTCAATGGGGTTAGGAAAATATCATGTATATAGTGTCTGTTTGCAGAGTGCAGTTCCACAACCACCCTGTGGGAGTGGGTTCTGATTGGCTCCCCTTGAGAAGGAAAGGATGACTCAGCTAGATTGATTTGCCCGGAGACGCTCAGTCAGGAAGTGTCTGAGCTGGATCTTGAACCTCCGCCTTCCTGACCATCCACATTGCCTCTTCGATCATGCTCATAAAGGCATAAAGGGCGGTGGGGTGGGGAGGACTGGTTTTGAGTCAGAGAACTTACTCTGTTCTCAATTACCAGACCCAAGGACCTTAACTCACTCTCATCTTTTGGCAGCCATTTAACATTCACCGATGAGCACCCTCTCCTCCTAAAGAGTCTCTCCATCCCTGGGTTTTTGTGACTGTTTTCTCCTGGTTCTCTTCCCAGCTCTTCCTACCCAGTCTTAAACTTTGCTGGATCTTCATCTATGCCATGTCCACTACTAGCAGTTGTCCCCCTCAGGCTCTCTCTTGGTGACCTCATCAGCTCCCAAAGGTCAGCTATCATCTCTATGCAGATAACTCCCAGGTCCATAGATTCATCCTAACCTTCACTCTTGCATCACTGGTTGCCTGCTGGACATTCTGGGCCTGAAGTCTGGCAGCCCTCTCCACCTCACCACCTCACCATATCCAAACTCATTATCGCCCCCCCTGCCCAAGCCATGCCTCTTCATAATGTCCCTCTTACTGTCCTGGGCACTGCCCCCTCCCAGGTACCCAGGCTCACCACCATGATGTCGTTCTCAACTACAACTCTTGCTCATGCCATATATCCAGTGATGTCAAATTCGCTTCTACTTTCCTCCTTCTTCAATATGTCACCCACTCTTCACTCACCCAGGCAACACCCTAGTGTAGGCCATTATCACCTCTTGGTGAGACTACTGCAGAAGCCTCCTATGTGGTCTTCCTCTTCTCCAGCCCATTCTCCACACACTCACCACAGTGATTTTCTTGAAGTAGAAGTATGACCACATCACCTCTCCCCTCACTAAACTCCCAGTGGCTCCCTATTCCCTCCAGGATCTATGATAAACTCCCCTTTCTGGCATTTGAAGCCCTTCACAATCTGGGCCCTTCCAACCTCTCCAGTGTTGTAACACATCACTCCCTCCACCTAGCCCTGCTGGCCTACTTGCTGTTCTTCCTTCCAAGCTGTCCCCCATGCCTCCCATGCACTTTGTTCACCTTGACTTCAGAACCTCTAGTTTGCTTCAAGCCTCAGATCAGGCTTCCTTCTACGTGGAAATTTCCCCAAACCCTACCACTACCAGTGCCCTCTGCAAGCTAGCTTGTATTTGATACGTCAGAGTATTTTGGAGACACCCTGTTTTCCAAAGCTAAGGCCCAACAAGCAGACTGTGCCCTGAGTTTGGCATAACAATAATTCTTTATGCCCTGGAATGATCTCATCCTCTGGCAAAGTATATTGCTTGGACCAGCACCAGGTGTTCACAAAGGAATTTGGCTTCCCTGATTTTCCAGGGCCTCCCATCACATGTTCACAATGCCACAGGGCCAGTGGGAACAGTAATTCAACATCTGAAAATGACTGTCATAATCCAGCCCACTTGTGGTGTATAAGACCTGCCTTTGGTCTAGCACGTTAAGTTCTCCTTCCTAGGAGGGGGGCTTCTATACACATATGTCATTTTCCTCACTCAGAAATTAATTAAACTTGTTTTGTGTCTTGACTCTTCTGCCTCTAGCAGGCTGTTTGTTTTTGTTTTTGGTGAGGCAATTGGGGTTAAGTGACTTGCCCAGGGTCACACAGCTAGGAAATGTCAAGTGTTTGGTCTGAGGTCGAATTTGAACTCAGGTCCTCCTGACGCCAAGGCCAGAGAGCTTTATCCACTGCGCCACCTAGCTACCTCCCGGCTGTTTGTTTGGCTCTGGCCACTCACAGGTTGGAGGCCAGTTCTGATACGGTTGATGTTGAATTTTGAGCATACTTACACATGTACATATTATCTCCCCCAGTAGAAGGTAAACTCTTTGAGGTCAAGGACAGTTTCACTTTTGCCTTCGGGTTCCAAGTGCTTAGCACAGCATAAGAGTACACAGCAGGAGCATAATAAATGATAAACAGCTTGGTGGAGTGGATAGAGCACTGGATCTGAAGTCAGAGGACATTGGATCAAATCCTTCCTCAAACACTAGCTGTGTTAGCCTGGACAAATCAACTAACCCTTTGTTTCAGTTATATCTGTAAAATAAAGGGTTTGGATTTAATGGACTCTAGGGTCCCTTCCTAGTAAACTACTAATTTGCTGACACTACCTAAAAGACCTTAGGCAAGTCATCTCCCTGGGCCTCAGTTTCTCCATCTGTAGAAGCGTGTGTCTGTGTGTGGGGGAGTGTAATGGATGGCCCCTGGAATTATTCCAGCTCCACATGTCTGATCCTCATCATTAACTTTTTCCTGTGAACTGTTTTCTCATCACTTTCTAAAATACCCCTTATCTGAAAGGCCGGAGTCCATTTATTTCCTAGGTGGGCACTGGGAAGGGTGGCTCATAGCTCAGGCCGACCTGAGTTCAACCCCTCTTCATGCTGTTTGGTTCTTGCTCTCCTTCAGGAACCTCAACTTTCCCCATCCCTCAAATCGTATGTCCAAGCTGAGAACCAAAGCAATTTCTACTTCCCTTGCTCCCCATGGCACTCGCGGAGTTCTGCAGGCTCACTGGCATTCTACCTTTTATTTACATTGATGAGAGATATACATTTAAAAATCATTTCCAGGTAGAGAATGGCATCTGAGGGTTTCCAATATCACAGTCCTGCGATTGGCAGGATGGCACCAGGCAGCAGCCCTTCAGGAAATCCTAAGAAGGATTTAATCTTCAGCAGGACCAAAGCCCTTTCCATCCCCAGATAACAGATGGCAACTGGGGGTGTCAGTAATCAAAATCAAAGCCTTGGGTGGAAAGGTTGGGCTCTTAAGAGGGGAAGCCAAGAAGATCTTCAGGGAAGCAGGATACAGTGAGAAGGCCTTCTCCTAGCACCCTCCAGGACATCCTTCTTCTCAGGGTCAAAGATGATGGAAAATGGACCAGGAAAACTTCCAGATTCATAAGCCTCTTCATGGGGAGGATCTGGGGCCTCTTCCTCTGACCCAATTCGTCCAGCTTACCTGAGGGAAGCTTTTCCAGCCATGTGTACTGAACTGAATTTGATTTCCTACAGAGGTCAGTTCCCAATTCCTTTTCTTTGGCATCCCCCAGCCCTGGCACTACCATTTCTGGGCTATTGTCAGTGTGTCCCTTCATGTGGTAAACAGAAAGCAGGATTTGTTCTGAAGGTCCGGGGTGGCTGCTGGGGTCTGGCTAGCCCAGCCTGTTGGGGAAGGCAGGGCAGAAGCAGGGAAGTCACAGCCTGGAGCTGAAAGTGGCCTGGGCCACTTTGGAATTGCTTTTTCTATTCAAGGCCTGGCAGATAAATTTTCCGGCTTCCAGCAACTTCGGAAGGCTCACCCCCTTGAAGAAATAAGTCACAAAATAGAGGTTACAGTTTGTCAGTAACCACTAGCCTGGGGTGGAGGGAGAGGGAGCAAACACCTGACAGATGGAAACACACGGCTGGTAATGTCAGATGGTAATAAAAATACAGGGAAAATGGTCTACCTTTACATGGGAAAACATAGCCTAGCAGCAGTTACGGGGCTGTGAGACCTTATGGGGTCAGGAAGAGAGGATGGAAAACAATCAGCCAGATGAGAAGCCTTTTAGCCCTCCCCTATCATCCTGTGAGGCTGAAAATCTTGGCCAGTCTGAGCCCATTTGTTTCATTAACAGAGACAGAAGGACATCATGGGAATTGTTAGGCCAGTGTAATGGAGATTGGACCAGTCTGGGGGGAAATCAGGAGGCCTGGCTTCCAACGAGCTTGTGATCTTTAGCAAAGGCAGGGCTTCAATTCCCCCTTCTGTAAAGTGGGGAAGTTAACACTAGATAATTTCTAAGCCCTAATATTCTCTGTTCTAAAGACCCTCCCAGCTCTGACATTATAGGTTCTAAGGGCCCTCCCAGATCTGACATTCTGTGTTCTAAGGGCCCTCCCAGCTCTGATATCCTGTGTTCTAAGGGCCCTCCCAGCTCTGACATTTTGTGTTCTAAGGGCCCTCCCAGATCTGACATTCTGTGTTCTAAGGGCCCTCCCAGCTCTGACATTCTGTGTTCTAAGGGCCCTCCCAGATCTGACATTTTGTGTTCTAAGGGCCCTTAGGAAAAACTACCTGTCAGATCTATGGATAAGAGAAGAGTTCATGACCAAACAACAGACAGAGAGGACCATGGGAGGTAAAATGGATAATTTTGATTACATGAAATTTAAAAGGTTTTGCACAAACAAAAAAAGTTTTTGCATAAACAAAACCAAGGAAGCCAAAATTAGAATGAAAGAAGGAAATTGGGAAAAAAATGTTACAGCACATTTCTCTGCTAAAAGTCTTATTTCTCTAATATAAAGGGAACTGAGCCAAAAATATAAAAATAAGAGCCAGTTGATAAATGGTCAAAGGATATGCACAGGCAGTTCTCAGAAGGGAAAAAAAATCAAAGCTAGCAATAATCATATAAAAATGCTCTAATTTACTACTATAGAAATGCAAATTAAGACAACTCTAAGGTACCACCTCACACCTATGAGACTGGCTAACATGACAGAAAAGGAAAGTTACAAATGTTGAAGGGGATGAGGAAAGAGAGGTACAGTAATGCATTATTGGTGGGTTGTGTTCCAATCATCTGGGACAACAATTTGAAACTATGCCCAAAAGTCTATAAAACTATGCATACTCTTTGACCCAGTAATACCATTGCTTGATCTATACTCCAAGTAGATGCGGGCCCTCTCAGGGGGGAAAAAAAAAAGGGAAAAGGATATGCACAAAAATATTTGTATCAGTTCTTTTGTGGTAGCAAAAATTGGAAACTGAGGAAATGCCCATCAATGGGGGAATGGCTGAACAAGTTGTATATGGTTGTGATGGAATACTACTGTGCTAGAAGAAATGATTAAAGGAATGGTTTTAGAAAAAAGCTGGTTAGACTTGTATGAACTGATGCAAAGGGAAGTAAGCAGAACCAGGAGAAAATTCTAACAGCAATTGTTAGAATAGTAAAAGCAATACTGTAATGATAATTAACTGTGAAGGACAGCTACTTTGATCGATACAATGATCGATCAGAATTCCAAAGGACTCAAAATGAAAAATGCTATCCATCGAGAGAGAGAGAGAGAGAGAGAGAGAAAACCGATGGATTCGGAGTGCAGAATGAAGCAGATTTTTTTTCTTGCTTCCCCTCCCCCTGCCCCCCAGAACATGGTTAATGTGGAAATGTTTTGTATGACTTCACATGTATAATGACTGTAGTATTTCTTGCTTCTCAATGTGCGAGGGAGAGAATTTAGAACTGAGAATTAAAAGTTAAAAAACAACAACAAAACCAAAGCAAGCAGCTGCCAAGTGGAATGGTCTCCTAGGGAGCAGTGGGTTCCCAACATCAGGTCTTCAAGCAAAGACCGGGTGACCTCTTATCAGCCATGGTGCAGTCATTTTCTATCAATATGTTAGACTCCCTACTGCTGACATTCTGTGTTTTAAGCTTTATTTTGGCTTTCACATCTACTATGGTCTAAGCTCTCTTATATTCCTAATGTTTTATGGTTCCTGACTGTCTCACTTCAGCAGCCTATTAACTCTGCTGCATCCAGGGCATTCACCTAACTATGAAATCTGTGTGTGTTGATCTTTTCCTCCTCAGTTTTGTGCAGGAGAATACCAGGCCCCTTCAGGAAGACCAGGAAACCAGTCTGTTCAGGTAGGAGAGGATGTAAACCCAAGTGCTGTCTGGTGGCTCCGGCACCGTGACCACGAGGGGGCAGATGACACTTACCGTTTCGATCCCCAGTCCATTCAGCATGTACAGAAGGTCTTCTGTTGCCACGTTTCCTGATGCACCCTTAGCATATGGGCAGCCCCCAAGCCCAGCAACCGAGGAATCCACCACAGACACTCCCATCTGGAAATGTAAATACGAGGAGAAACACATTAGGCTGTCATCAGGCCCAGACATCTCACTGTAAAGTGGATTAAATTACTGGATTTCTTTACAGGGGGAAAGTTTTACAGGGGAAGAGGAATAAAACCTGAGGGTAAGAGATACCTGCGGGTATGAAGGTAGGAGAAATCCAGAGAGGGAGAAAATGTTTAAGTGGGATTTATCAAAGACAAAGTTGAAAGTTTCAGAATGTTAGGACTGGAAGACGCCCTGGAGGTGCCTTCTACTCTGATGCCTCATTTTACAGAAGAGGACAACCTAGGCCCTGAGAAGTGAAGTGACCTTCCCACAGTCCTGCAGGTGGTAAGCAGTAGAGCAGAATTCAAACCCAAGTCTGCCGATTCCAAATCCAGTGCTTTGCAATACTCTTATTTTACAGGGCTAGGAAACTGAGGCCCACACAGGTAGCATGACTTACTCAGGGCCCATAGTGGTATGACAGACAAAGTCAGGGAATCCTAGGGCCTCCAACCTAATAATTCTGCCTAGGTCAGCCAGTCCTGGTGAAAGTGAGTACAAGCCCGAAAGGTCCTTTAAAATTTCCTCTCCTATGCCCAGGGAAGACAGTGAGGAGAGGAATAAGTCAGGTGACTGAGAGGCCACAGCTGGTGATGAAGGAATTAAATCTTATCAGAAAATTTCTGGCAACAGACAAGTGGGCAGAGGAGCTGGCTTCTGGTGCCTCCCCTGGGCTAGGGCTCTCCCTCTTCCTGATGCCGGCCACCATACGAGTTGGGAAAGAAAGGCCAGACACCTGCAGAGAGATGGGAGGTCACGGGCCTATCCAGCCTCAAGAAGATAGGAGAGCAAAGGGGGTTGAAGAGCAGAGGAGGCTGACCCCAAGCTTGGCCACCCCTCTAGCTCCATCTGCCCTCTCCCTCTCCCCCTCTGAGCCTGGAATGGGCTCCTCCCAATGCTGGCTGCAAATGTTTCCCCCATCTTTTGAGACAAAACTCAGGATGCCACCTGCTCCAAGACGACTCAGAAGATCCTCACCCACTCCTGGGCAGAAGTGAGTGATCTCTGCCTCCTCCAATTCTAAACAGACACTCCTGTCTAGCTCCTAAATCCCTCCCCAACTCTGCCTCAAACTACTCTTCCCTCCTTATACACTCCATCTCCAGTCACCACATCTGTGCCCTGGATGTCCTCCTTCCTTACCTTTACCTAAGCGAATCCCTCTCCTACACAAAGCCTTTCCTGAGCACCCCCTTTGTGGATTCCCTCAAGAAAATATCCACTCCTTGCGAGCAAGAACTGTTTCATTTGGGGTTCTGCATTCCTGGTGCCTAGCAGTATGTGGCACAGAGTAAGTGCTTAAGAAAGACTTGCTGAGTGATTTATTATTCGTGTATTTGTCTTGGTAGCTAGGTGGCACAGTAGATAAGAGTGCTGGGCCTGGAGTCAGGAAGACCCGAGTTCAAATCAGGTTTCTGACGCTTACTAGCTGCGGCAAATCACTTAACCTGTTTGCCTCAATTTCGTCATCTGTAAAATGGGGGTAAAAATAGCACCCATCTCCCAGAGTTGTTGTGATGATCAAATGAGATAATTGTAAAGAATTTACACAGTGCCTGACACATAGTAAATGCTATATAAATGTTAACTACTATTATATATTAGCTATATGTTAGTTATTAGTTATATAACATATCAGTTATGTGTTAGCTACTATTATTATTCTTCTTCTTCTCCTCTTCCATTCTAGGTTGAGAGCTGAGTCTGGGTTTGGTATTCAGGTGCTTAACACTTTCTTGTGCAACCCTAGGGCAGAAGGTAAGGTGAGTGGTTACATTTCAGACACAGGGCTGGCATCAAAAGAACTTTATGTCCTTAAGAGGGCAATGAATGGGATTGATGGAGCCTCCTTTTCATGGGGATGTTAGCAGAACAGAGCCTCAGTGGAAACCACACTAAGGTCCACCCCTCTGGGATCTCTGGGAGAAGAGATGATAGGACTCAGATCTGGAAAGGGCTGTGAGATCATCTAGTCCAACCTGCTCATTTTACAAAGGAGGAAACTGAGACCAAGGGAATTTGGGTGACATGTCCAATGCAGGAGAGCCAGAATTTCAACCCACATCTACTAAATCTAGTTCTATCACTCCCTTCCCCCCACAGCACACATTTCCTCTTCTGAAGATTCACTTCCTTTCCTTTACCTGAAGAGCCATTGAGATGTTGGCGAGGGCTTGTCCATAGGTGTCATGGCAGTGGACGGCCAGGGCACTCACTGGCACCTCTTTCATGACCGCAGACAGCATATCCTTCATGCCAACCAGGGTGCCCACGCCAACAGTGTCCCCCAGAGAGATCTCATAGCAGCCCATTGAATATAGCTTCTTAGACACCTGGAGAGTGAAGAGGACACTAGGCAGGGGGTGACCTCCATGGGTTGAGAGATACAGGTGAAGGAAGAGAAATACGTGGCCCTCTATTGCCATATGGCCACAAACTGGTCACGGCGTAAAGAGGCGCACAGGGGACATTTCTTCTCGATCTTGCCTTTGACTCTTGGGTCTCCATGGACCAGTCACACAGTAACACCCAAGAGTCAGAGGGCTGAAGGGGTTGTCAGAAGCCACTAAACCAAACTCACACCCATGCACGAACTGCTTCTTACAGCATCCCTGAAAAGTGTCCGTCAGTTTTTGCTTAAGAAGGAGAAGAAGTCCAGAGAAGAAACCTGAACTCTCTCTCCCACAGGACAGCAATCACATTACTCTCCCAACCCCAGTTTCCATTTCTCCCCTATCTTTCCCTAGAGCTATGTCCACAGGAGATGATGGATAAATGTCTGCTAACAACCAGTCCAGGAAGTTTTTCCCTTGGAAAGAGGGCAAGGGATTTCTAGAGCCCATATCTAGGCACAGAAATAATCTCTCCAATGAGACTTCAGGTGAGCCCCACCTATGGGAAAGGCTAACCGGCCCCTAGTGAACAAGGGTTAATTCTCAGATGGACCACTTGAATGATAAGGGCTTCATGGGGGCACAAATAGTGTCTCCAAACACTGGAAGGAAAGAGGGGTTGCTAAGCTTGGTTCTGCTTGGCTTCCGGTTCAGAGAAGCAGAATGTCACTCAATGCAAGGGAAGGAGCTCCCCGATTCCTGACAAAGTTCGGGAGTAGAAATGGGCTGCCTCTGGAGGCTTCGAGGTCCCATCTGGGAAAGTCCTTCAGCAGAGGCTGGAAAACCACTTGCTGTGGAGAAGGCTGATGAGCTCTCGGTGCCCCTGGCCTCTGCCCGTTGTCTTCCCACCCACAAGGTAGCCAAACCTTCACAAAACTCCTGTTCCAACAGAGACACACCTCAGCTACTTTGGCTGGGGAGATTTTCCCTTCATACGGGCATCCAAGCACGCAGGACACATACCTGCCAGGAAAACATGCCCTTGTCAGGGGAGTCCCAAGTGGTGAAAGAACCACGGCCCAGAGAGAACAGTCCTGGCAGATTCAGCTCAGGCCTCCCCTGACAACCCAAGGGATGAGTGGACGCCACCTCGGGCCACACTGCAGGGAGCTCCAGAGGGGTAGGGAAAGTAGGGCCCGTGGGCTCACCCTCGGACAGGAATGTTGGCGGCTCTGGCCGCACTCAGGACCTTCTCAAAGCGCTCCAGGCTCTCGTCGATGGAGCAGTTAATGTTCTTCTTGGTGAAGAGCTCCGAGGCAGCCCCAAATATGGCCACTTCCTCGGCCCCTGAAGCAACCTAGCAACAAGTGCAGTATGCTTGTAACAACAATGCTGGCTTTGGAGCTACAGGCCTGGCTTCAGATCCCAACTCTGCCTCCTCCTGCCTTTGGAACCTTGGACACCTCTTTTCTCCTCCGAGGACCTCAGCTGCTTCCTCTCTAAAACGAGGGGGTTCAATTAGCTGGCCCCAGAAGCCCCCTCCAGCTCTACAGCTGTGATTCCTAGGGGTCAGAGGGGACCGCCGTAATAGGACCTAAAGCCCCTCTTCTCAACCAGGGGTCTGAAGGCCAATCGATGGAGAAACTGTTCAGTTACACACAGGATCCAAGTCTTTGCTGCCTTTTTTTTGGGCAGCAACCTTGAATGATTCTGTATACCTGCCGTATCTCCTCGGCGGCAGTGATAATCCTATAGCACTAAGTGTTCTACAATTGGAATCTCAGGGTGGAAGCTCCTCAAGGACAGGAGCTGGTTCTCATTCTGTCTTTGTTACCTCAGAACCTAACACACAACAGGCATTTAATACATGTTTGGGGAATTGGACTCCACTGGAATGGAAACAATAACCCAATGCTTGCTTAGACTAGCTAAAAGGTCACTACAGTCAATTTAAAGTTGGAAGGGCCTTAGAACCAATTTCCTTATATTACAGATGATGAAACTGAGGCTCAAAGGGGCCTCACGTGACATGCCCATGGTTGCAAAGGCAGAACCAGGATTTGAACCTAGGTCCTCTGGATTCCAAGCTCTTTCCATTGGGAAAAGCAAACAAAATAACCCTTCCCAGGGGAGAGACTCTCCCAGAGGTGAGCGAGGACTGAGTCTCAGACACCAGCAGAGGTCGCTGCGAGCCAAGACCTGAAGCTCGGGCTCTGACCGATGGAACATGTTCCTTTTACCGCTGCCTGGAAGCCTGTGAGATTGGGGGTCAGGACTGGGTAGCGGATGCCAGGAAACTTCTTGATGCCCTTCAGGACTTCAGCATGGTCTGCCATCTGGGGAGGCAGGAGAGAAGCATCCCAGGGTTAGAAGGAATCTGGGGCACTCAGGATTTTTAGTCACAGAGAATCACCCAGGATCCTAGAATCAGAGGGCTAGCCCCAAAAGGGTCCTCAGACGCCATTGAGGAGCACCCCACTATGTAGATGAGGAAACTGAGGCACAGGGCAGGATGTAGGTTTGAGTGCTGAGCCCCCAGCAGTGGAACAGAAAGCACAGCTCCTACAGAACAGCAGTGAGGGTGGTGACAAATGAGCTGTACAAAGTGGTACCCTTTCTGCAACCAAACTCGAAGGCACAGGATCAGGGGCCCCATTTTACAGAAGGGAAAACTAAGGCCAAGAGAAGTTGTGAATTCTCCAGGGTCATAAGCTCATAGCTTTGAGTGGAAAGGGACTCCAAGGTCATCTAGTCAAACCTCTTAATGAGGAGGAAACTGAGGCCCATGGAGGCGAAATGACTTGGCCCAGGTCACACTCAGTGAGGGAGCAGAGTCAGCCATAGAATGCAGGCCTCCTGACTCCTAGATTTTTCCTCTGTATCACTGCTTAGAGTGAACTGAGGGAGGCCTGCAGTGTAGACTTCATTCCAGCCTCCCCAAACTCTGGGCCTCCTTGGGGCTGGGTTCCTGGCCATATCCTACATGGAGATTTCCTGGCCACCCCCGCCCCCAAGCTGTTCGCACCCTCTCCCTTCTCTACTGATCAAGCATTCACTTCCACTTTGTATTCCCTACCCCCAGTAGAATTTAATAAGTTCATTGGAGGCAGAGACAGTTTCCTTTTGTCACTGTATTCCAGTGTCCACTTGGGGGTCTGGCACACAGCAGGGGCTTAATAAATGTTTTGTTGAATTAGATCAGGAAACTATGATGGCCAAGGCCATGGTGTGCCCAAAGGACCCTAGTAATACCCTCCTGAAAAAGATTTCAATTCCCAGCAAAACAAGTGAAGCTTTCTAACCCCCAAAGCCCCACCCTGCAGGCTGCTCTCACCTGGGGCACCCACTTGGGAGACACGAAGCTGGTGGCTTCGATGACAGGGAGTCCTGACTCAGACAACATGTCTATCAGCCTGATTTTCAACTGAGCAGGTACAATAGACTGCAGAAGGAAGAGAGGCAGAAAGAACTCAATAATGAACTTACACCAGGAAGTTCCTGGCCCTGGGACTCAAGAGCAAACCCAACCTCTGAACTGTCATGCAGATTCCTAGGCCAGGCCCTGGTCCATAGGGCAGGGTTTTCTTAAGCTCAGTCGATGTTTATGTTGGGAGTCAGAAACTGACCAAATGTCAAGGACCACAGGGAATATGGATGCAGATTAGCACCCCACGCCAGAGCACACACACACCTGCATGGCACGCCTGACAGCTGCCATCAGCCCTGCATCTCCTTCACCTGCTTGTCCCCAGAACTCCTCCCTCATGGCCCATATCCCGCTGGTCCTCAAGTCCTGTCAATTCTTCCTTCACTTTGAACTGCTGACTTTCTACTCCAGGCCCTCTAGCACTGTGGTTCCTAGCGCCCGATTTCTCCCTCCTCTAATCTCTCGTTCTAGACTGAAACTGCACGTCCATCTTCCATCATGTCACTCCTCCAATCTTGGAATGGCTCCACATGACATCTAAGTAAGAGGAACAGATGATTTTACATCTTAGAGATGACAGAATCATAGACTAAGAACTCTCTAGGTTATCAACTCTGATTTCCTCATTTTACAGCTGAGGAAACCGAGGCTCAGAGAAGTGAAGAGAGGTTTTATTTTGCCTCGGGTCACCCATCTACTAAGTGTCTGAGGTGGGATCTGGACTGAGGGTCCCCTGACTCCCTGGTCCAGAACTCTAGTCACTACTGTCTCCTTACTGATTGCCTGTCCCTGAACACCACTTTTTCTCAGCTCTATCAGTGCTCGGTGAATGAATTAAATACCATATCTGAAGGAGCCAACATAGCAGATATTCCACAAGTGCTGGATTAATAAGATTTTCCACGTTTACCTTTTCATTTTGCAGACCATCTCGAGGGCCGACCTCCACGATTTTAACCTTCTTTGGGAGTGCAGATAGACTGGAGGAGCTGATCTTGAACACAGGAAGGAAGAGAAGGAATAACTGAAATAACTGAGCATCATTCAGAAACACTAACAACGCAAGTAGTACTCGACACCATTTTAATCATTTGGCCCAGATTACGAACAAAAAGGAACCTTCCAAGCCTGAAATCCACCTTTAAAAAAAAAACTTAAATTTATTTATTTCAATTAACAACAACAAAAAAGCCCCACCTTTTCTCCCTCCCCCTTCCCATTCCTCAAAGAAAAAAGAAGCGCCTTGTAACAAACATGTATTACCAAGCAAAACAAATTCCTGCACTGGTCATGTCCAAAAAATAGATGTCTCAATATGTACCTGGAGTTCATCCTTTCTCTATCAGGAGACGGAGGAAATCCATCTTTTTAAAAATGACACAAATAACACAGAAACTGCGGTATTGCTGGGATCTATCTTCATGAGGAAATGTAAAAATTCCCATTTATTTACCCCTCCCTCAGTACAAGGTCCTCAGGGAAGAATTTCAGTCCTTTCTGATCCACAACATCTTCTCAGACCCCACCTAAAACTTTGATTTTTCACTGTCCTATACTTTCATCTATTACAGATTTCTGTGTTTGTGTATGAGGTAGAGCCCTGGTCTGAGGAGTCAGAACACTGAGTTTGAATCCCAACTCAGTCAATTACCAGTGTCACTTAACCTCTGTGGTGCCTCAATTATAGCAAGTCTGTAAAATGGGATAAAAGCACCTAACTCTCAGGGTTGCAGAGTGCTACACAAACTTGAGGTGCTGTTGCTATTACTAAACAGTTAGCCTGCATGCAGGCAGGGTCTCTGTCTTACCTAGACTTTACACATCTCCCATAGTTTGGACACATAAGGTACTCTATAATCGATGGCTAACTTGAACTGTCCCATCCCCCCACTAAAAAGAACAGCTGCAAGAGTAGATCAGAGTGCACTCAGGAAAACCTGGGTTAAATCCCACTTCTGAAATTTACTAGTTGTGGGTCCAGGAGCAGGTTATTTCTCCTCTCTCGGGGAATCATTATGCAAACAAATATACACAAAGTAAGCAATCTACAGGATAAATGGGGCATATCAACAGAGGGAAGGGCCGGGGAAGGCTTCCTGTAGGAGGTGGGCTTTTAGGTGGGGCTTAAAAGGCTGCCAGGAAGGTCAGGAGTCAGAGTGGAGGAGAGGGGGTGTTCCAGGCAAGGGGATTGCACAGAACTGTGTGCAAGCTGTGCTCCCCAGGAGCTCCTTGAGGGCAGGGGCTGTCTTTCGCCTTTCTTTCTATCCCCAGCGCAGAGCGCAGTGCCTGGCATACAGTAGGCGCTTCATAAATGCTCACTGACTGTAAGAAGGAATCATCCGGTCCAAAGGCTTCATTTTGAAGGTACGGAAAGGAAGGCCCAGGCCCGGGGGGAAAAGGGGCCTAGTGCGAATCCTGTCTATTCCTAAGCCAGGTTTGCCCCTGCCCCTTCAATTCCTCCCCAAACTCAGTTAAGGTCAGCATCGCGGGCGTCACTGAAGACAGCAGGGGGCGGAGAAAAGAAAGGAAGAGCCGGGGTGCGGAGCAGTCGGGGTGCATGTGTGTTCCGGGGGAAGGGGGGGACTTACAGCCCGCAGGGAAGACGCCCCAATCATCCTTAGTAATCGCAACGATCTCCAGAACGGCCCCATACTAGAACGCTCGAACCACGCAGGCGCCGTATGCGCGCTACGTCACACGGTAGGGCCGCGCACAAGGCGGGGGCGGAGCCTGCTTGTGGGGGCGGGGCCTGCACACTCCCCTACATGTCCTCGTCCGCCGGCTCCCCCTCGCGGCCCTTTGGTGCATGGCCTCCCGGCCCAGTATTACGGGACCCTGGTCTTCTTCCACCCTCCTCTCAAACAAGCCAAAACACGCCCAGATCACCAGTCCCCTCCCTCTGCCCTTTACCCTCAATTCAAGGCCAGTCAACAAGCTTATCTTACTAAGGGTCTTGGCCAGGCTCCTCACCAGCTTCTGGAAGTGCAAAGATTAAGAAACAAAAAAACAAAACAAAACCCCCCCACCAGCGCCTGCCCGCAGGGGTTTTCATTCTGCCTAACCTGCAGACCCTCCTGCTTGTCCCGGTCCTTCCTAAATGTCATGGCCAGAGGCCAGCACCATGCCCCAGCCAGAGGGCACCCCCGAGGACTGGACCCTGCTTCTCTTAAAGAAACTCAGGACCTCGTTAGGGTTTTGTTTGTTTGGGTTGGCTGCTATGTGTTTGTGTCATACAAGTTACCTGGCATTCTTTGCCCAGTTTTCCTTATTAAAGGTTTCTTTGTTATTTAAAAAGGTTTAATCTTACTTAGACACACATCTGACGTCAAGAAAGCCATTTGTTCTCAAGAGGGACAATACTTGAATTTGGATTAATGTTGTTGTTATTCTTCTTTTTTTTTTTTGTTAGGCAATGGGGTTAAGTGACTTGCCCAGGGTCACACATTGGATTAAAGTTAAATGACAAAAAACTTGTTTTTGACAAATGCAGAATACAGAATGAATATATGGTGAAAAATGATTTTTCTTAGTAATCATTATCTTAGAAACTAAAAGCCTTCTCCATCCTCCTTTCTTCCAAAGTTCAGTTCCTTCTTTAGAAGGACATTAGGATCCTATCTAAAGGATCTATTCCTGCTCATCGTGTTTGTTGCCCAGAAAAGCCTGGGAAAATGTTGATTCCTCCCTATAGTCAAGACAGGCAACATGGAAATCGATGTCTCTTTGACCAATGTTAAGTGACCTAAGTCACATACCTCAAGGCCCTCATCTGAATATAGCCCACCTCCCAGTGTGCTGACCAATCAGAGTTGATTGTCACCCCTTGGGAACACCTACTCTTAGAAGGTCACATAACTCTGTGCCCCCAACCCCAAATCGAACCAATTCTGGACGGACTCTGTTAGCGGTGCTCAGTTCTGGACTATAACTCCCATGCAATCAATGCATGTGTGTTGACAGCTTGAGAGAAATTAAAAATTAAAAGAAATTGATAATACCTAATTTTGTTTGTCTCTTTCTTAGAACAAACTCTTCGAGGTTGACGGTGTGTGTGTGTATGTGTATATATATGTGTATGTGTGTGTGTGTGTGTGCATATTATATATCTATATATTGGACATGTGGACTCATTAATGACTTCTCTTTGTGTCTGGCCATTCAACCACTTCTGAATTCACTTAATTACATTGTCAAGGGGTGGATGGAGTGTTCAAGGAGGACTAGTACCTCTGGTGTGTGGGCTTGCCAAACACTTTTCAGGTTTGTTCATCGCCTTTGCTATCCACCTGGCGCTGAATTCTCACCTGTGGCTCCAAGAAGCTGTAGTATGTCTAGCAGACACACCCTGGTAAAACTGTCTCAGCAAATAGGCTAAACCAGGGTGATGAGAACTGAGGGGTCTCAAACCCTTTGGTGAGTTGGGATGGTGTCTACCCCAAGTATGTGAAGACTTGCCCCAGTGGAATGAGCAGATGAGAACAGTTTGTTCCAGTGGCCATGAAGGCGGCTGCTGCAGGCATTGTTGAGTGCTTAGAGCTTGGTCGGACAGAAGACGCCAAAGGTCATCCACTATATCCCAAGCTATCAGTTGTCTTGATTTTTGTCTTATCACTGGACTTTGATGACTCTGAAAGAGAGACTGAAGCTGGAACTCTTCCTCGTTTAAATCCAATTTATGTGCAAATCAAAAACCTTCACCCATACCATTTTACCATTTTCACCTGCCTCAAAGTCCTGCGGCAACAGAAAAGTGACAAAGCAGCAGGTGAAGATATACTGGGAGCTGTAGTCACAACCCTGCACACAGGCAGCTCAGGCTATAGGGATGCCTTCTGACCAGACTGAAGCACCCCTTGGGTGTCTGAGCAACCTTTTTGGAGGACTGCACAGCTTACTTCTGGAGTGAGCAAGGGGCTAGAAAAAATGTCCTAAAAATGGTCTTCTTCACCCAACCCTGACCTGTTTACTATGGCAAGGAGGGATACCACCCTGAGGTCAAAATACACACACACACACACACAATACAAAAACTTTTGCAAAGATGATTCCACTTACCTTCAGTACATGGAATGTGTGCACACTGATGGACAACACAAAATCCAGTAGACCTGAAAGTTGAACAGCTCTTTTTTTTTAATTAATTAATTTATTTTTAGTTTTCAACATTTACTTGCATAAGATTTTAAGTTCCAAATTTTCTTCCCATCTCGACCCCCCCCCACAAGATGGTATGCATTCTGAATATCCCTTCTAATCATGAACAGTTCTTATCGCAAGAGAACTCAGCAAGTATGACATCCACATAGGAGCCCTGCGTGAAACTAGGCTGGCAAATGAATGCCAGCTTACTGAAGTTGGAGCTGGATACATGTTTTTCTGGAGTGGCCATAGTGAAGGGGAGTGCCCTGAACCTGGGGTAGGTTTGGAAATAAAAACTCATCGAGTCAACAAGCTTGTATGCCTACCAAAAGGAGTGAATGACTGATTCATCACAATGTGATTGCCACTTGCAGGAAAACACCAAGCTACCATCATCAGTGCATCTGCCCCCACCATGACGAGCCCTGATGAGGTCAAAGAAAAATTTTATGAAGACCTGGAGACCCCCATCATCCATGTGCTGAAAGAGGACAAGCTTATAAACCTGGGTGACTAACGCAAGAGTAGGCACAGATTACCAGACATGGCAGGGAGTCCTTGGGAGGAATGGAGTTGGAAACAGCAGCAGCAATGGTCGCTTACTACTGAAGACTTGGTGCCTCTCATGACCTTCTCATCACCAACACTGTCTTCTGTTTACCTAAACATAATAAAACTTCATGGATGCACCCTCACAGCACATATTGGTATTCAATAGACTGTGTGATTGTAAGAAGAGACAGACAGGGTGTGAGAGTGAAAAATGCAATGTATGGTTTAAAATGCTGGATTGATCGTAGACCTGTCCTCTCTAAGCTAAATATTTACATTCAACAAAAGTGATGGCCTCAAGGCAAGACAACGATCAGAAAATGTTCAAGTCAACAAATTAGAGCCCTTCTACGAGCAGGAATAGACTGTTTTTAACTTGGAGGGAAAGCTGAGTCCACACGTGGTTGGCAACACTGGAGCAGAAAAGGAGTGGGTAGCTTTCAAAGATTTGGTACATAGCACAGCATTTACTCATCTGGGCCTGAACACTCGCAAACATCAAGATTGGAAATTCAGAAGCTGCTAAGTAAAAAGCGAGAACTTCATCGGGTTTACCAGTAGGATAGTACATTTATCTCTAAGAAGGCAGCATTTAACTCCATCAAAAGTAAAGTGCAAGTGAAGCTTAGAGAGATGCAGGATTCTTGGCTCAGTAAGAAGGCAGATGAACTTCAGTTTTACACTGACAGTGACCATCCAAAGTGCTTTTATGATGCCCTGATGGCTATTTGTCAGCCAAAGACCTATAGTGTGTCTCAACTACTCAGTGCGGATGGAACCACATTGATTAGTGATAAGGACATGATCCTGGAGAGATGGGCTGAACACTTCCATAGCGTTCTGAACAGATCATCATCTCAGTGCTGAAACCACTGACCAAATACCTCAGGTTGAAGTCAGTCCCTCTCTAGCCAAACTTCCAACTGAAGAAGTTTTGAATGCCATTAGGTTTCTCTCATGTGACAAAGTACCTGGTGCTGATTCTTTTCCGGTGAGATTTACAAGGTGGAGTTGGAGGTGGGGGTTCCACTGCTCATACAAAAGCTGACTGAAATTTTCTGGGTTATATGACAGGAGGGGGTTATCTCCTAGGAGTTCAAGGATGCCTCCATTGTCCATCCCTTCAAAGGTAAAGGAAATAGATTGTCCTATGACAGTCAGGGGACTGGTGTGTGTGTGTGTGTGTGTGTGTGTCTCTCTCTCTCTCTCTCTGTCATTGCCAGCAAGATTCTTGCCAGAGTCCTCCTTAATAGGCTGATCCTTCACCTGGAAGATGGTCATCTACCAGGGAGTCAGTGTGGTTTCAGAAAGGGCTGAGGATTAGTAGGTATGGAATGGTAGGTATGTCTGACAACTCAGGAAAAATGCCAATAGTAGAACAGAGCTCTATACATGATGCTGCCTTTGCCAGTTGTGAGGGCTTGTGGAAAATTATGGCAAAATTTGGGTGCCCAGAGAAGTTCATCAGTATTGGACATCAGTTACATGATGGCATGTTTGCCTAGGTTCTGGATAATGGAAGACGCTCCCTCAATTTCCCAGTTATCAATGGAGTGAAGCAGGGCTGTCTGCTTGCTCCCATGCTTTTTAGCATGATGTTTTCAACAATGTTGTTGGACACCTTCAACAAGGCCAAAAATGGTGTCAAGTTCAGCTACCACACTGATGGTAAATTATTTAATTTGAAAAGGCTGCAAGCCAAGACTAAAGTGGAGGGAGAATTGGTGCGTGACTTTTTGTTTGCGAATGATTGTGTACTCAGTGCATCCTCTGAGGCTGAGATACAAGGAAGTATGGATGGATTCTCTGATTTTAATTTTATTTTTAAGGCTTGGTCAATCTAGATTTAATATTCACCCTCCTGATTTCATTGGTCCTCCTTGAGAACAAAAGATGAACTACAAATAAGGTTCTGTTATCTAAAAATATTGAATAATTCTCTGAGTTGTAAGCTATTCCAATTCACAAAGATTAATTAAAGTATT